ATGTGAGAAAGAATTCAACAGGAAATACTTTGACATTGAAAGTTACTCTACTTGGTATTGAACTAAATACAGGTCACCTGATGAATATGAAAAGGGAGCTATTTGAATGAAGGGCAATGAGAGGAAAGAGAAATATGAAACAAAGACTAACAATGATTTTCACTCCTCACCAGACATGGAGCAGTGTATGAGGTGTCCAGATTATCAGTTCACCAACACCGAGAGAAACACGTGCCTCTTGAAAACTGAGAGTTTCCTGGCTTATGAAGACCCCTTGGGCATGTCTCTTGCCTGCACAGCTCTCTGTTGCTCTGCACTCACAGTTGCGGTTCTTGGGGTATTTATCAAGCACCAAGACACCCCCATTGTCAAGGCCAATAACCGGGCCCTCAGCTACATCCTGCTCATCTCCCTCACCTGCTGCTTCCTCTGCTCCTTGCTTTTCCTTGGCCGTCCCCACACAGCCTCCTGCATCCTTCAGCACACCACATTTGCAGTGGTCTTCACTGTGGCTGTCTCCACGGTCCTGGCCAAGACCATCACTGTGGTTCTGGCCTTCACACTCACTGCTCCAGGGAGAAGCATGAGGCAGTGGCTGGTGTCCCAGGCTCCTAAGCTCATCATCCCCATCTGCACTCTCATCCAGGTGACTCTCTGTGGCCTCTGGTTGGGAATCTCTCCTCCCTTTGTGGACAGAGATGCACACTCTGAACATGGCCATGTTATCATCCTGTGCAACATGGGCTCTCGCACTGCCTTCTACTGTGTCCTGGGATACTTGGGCTTTCTGGCCTTGTCCAGCTTCACCATGGCTTTTCTGGTCAGGAATCTGCCTGACACCTTCAATGAGGCCAAGTTTCTGACCTTCAGCATGCTGGTGTTCTGCAGTGTGTGGCTCACCTTCCTGCCTGTCTACCACAGCACCAAGGGGAAGGTCATGGTGGCCGTGGAGGTCTTCTCCATCCTGGCCTCCAGTGGAGGTCTCCTGGGCTGCATCTTTGCCCCCAAGTGCTACATCATCTTGATAAGACCTGAGAGAAATTCTCTGTCCACGTTCAGGGAGAGATCACAGTCCGGAAGAAACAAACATTAAGATGAACATAAGTGTTGCCTACAATGTTTAGAGCCTCTGAGAGCAATCTATACCAATTTGACAGTCACATCTTAGTTTAATTTGAGGAATTCTTTGAACAAAGTAGTTACTCTTTTTCATTCCACTGCTTATGTAAGAGTCATATCAAATTCCCAACAAGACTTCCTAAATTTTCATTCTAATTTGGACATTTTATTCTTCCTCCAGTGTAACGTGTCATTTATGATATCATACTTTCTAATTAGTACATTATCTACTGTGATTCTTCCTTTCTTTTTCCTGTCTCAATTATTCTTCTTACCTATGCTATATTGTTGCTTGCATATCACTATATTCGTAAGGCTGCTAGTATCTGAATGTTATGCTGTGGAATGTTTCCATTCTTTCATTATGGTACTTCGATTGTATTCTTTGGCCTAGCTGTGTTTTTCTGTTCACAATTTTCTATTTTGCTATATTACTGCGTGCATTTATTCAGAAAATCTCTCCTTCTCTCTCTTCTCTTTTAGAGCAGGATGTTAATGTGTTTCAGTTTCCCAGAGGAGTCTTTAAAGGTATTTTTGAGAAAAGAAATGTGAGTGAATCAATATAACTAGAGCATCTCAATGAGCAGCTGGAACAATAGTTTGCTTATTGGTCATTATTTCTTATTGAAGGCCAAAGATACAGAGTGCCAAGCACAGCCTTGTCATCCCAGTCTCTATGAATCCTCAATATTAATTTGGGAGGAGAAATGGAATCATTTATAAGAAGAGAAAAAGCTCCCCAAAGAGAGGACAAAATCATTAGATAGGCTCAGACTCCCGTATCTCTCAATGTTCTTTAAAATTCTACAAAAACAGGAATGACTCAGAAGAGTCACTAAAGAAATCAGAAGCGCTGAGAAACTTGAAGTGAGACTGTTGTCATGCCACCACTGCATTATACCGTCAGGAGTCCAAAGGACAATTAAGCTCATTTTGCTGACTGGAGATCTTGACATCATTCAATGCTGTAACTGTGGGTCAGTGGAGTGATGTCACCCATGCATGCATCACAGAGACACACACAGCGCCGTATGTAATTCTGCTGGGACATTGCTGGAAAACATAAAAACATATGCACAGAGACAGAAATGTGTGGAAGCCAAACAGATCATTCCATTTACAGTGATTCATAGAAGAGAGTTCTCACTGTTCTGTAAGCATTTGCTTTTGTATTGAATGGCATTGCTGGATTAGTATGTATACAACACAGGGGTACTGATGAATTTTACTATCATAAAGCTTTAACGAGAACCTGAACAGCCTAACCACAGAAAAGAAATGAGTGTTAGACTTCCATGTCAAATGCCTACATCAAGGATCATGAAGATGTATCTGTTGTTCACTAGAGAAATAAGAACAAGGAAACTTCAGATCCAATCACTTTTTGTCCTTTATGAGGTGTAATCTTACCACATTGTGCTAATAATAAATAGATAGTTGCCCTTATACATTCATCATACTCTAATGGTAAAGGAAGTAATTATTGAGTAATTTGTAAGGAAAGAGGCTAAGGTACATGGGACATGTTACTGGGCTTTCAGTGAAATAAAATGCATGTTTTACCTTGTCAAAGAGGACAACTTACCAGAATTATTCTGATCTCATGTCTTTTGTCCATAATCAGGTAGTCTAATGCAAACACACTTGTAACAGTTTATGTCTAAACACTTACAAGTTACATTAAAATCACTCACACTTAGCTGAGCACCAGTGCCTCAGGCCTGTAAAATTAGCTCCTTAGAGAGCTGAGATGTGAGGAGCATGGTTTCAAGACAGCCTGGAGCAGTAAAGTTCCTGAGTCTTTTATAGCCAAGGAACCAACAAAGCCAGAAGTGTATTTGTGGTTCAAGTGGTAGAGCACTAGCTTTACACAAAAACAATGCTCAGAAACAACACCCAGACCTTGAGAACAACAATCAGAACCAGCACCAAAACCCCCCATAAGAACACAATCTTACATTCATTTCTTTAGGTGGCAAAAATGTAAATTCCCTGTGAAGTAAAGAAAGATGAAGCATATGGAATAAAAAGACAACACAGGTCATAGCTGGGCAAAATAGGAATTTCCAAATAATGTCAACAATGCTTTTTTAATAACTGAGGTACAGAACTTTACTATCATTGTGATAGTCCATTTTCAGTACTTAGAAAGAGTTTAGAATAATGCAAGTATTTTAGTTTGAGGAAGACCTCAACAGGAAACAGAGCCAGTATTCTATCGGTAGAAAGAAAAAATGATTACCCATTCTTGTAATAAAGCATAACTAAGTATGTATAAATCTTGGTGAACTGTGATGGTCAGAAAGTGGTGAAATAATTTTTACTGCTCTGTCATAACATCTGGCTACCCAAAACAATGATGTTGGTATTTATGATTAAGAGGTGATATTTCCAAGACTCTTCACCCATTAAATACATCAGTACTTACTGGGTAGAGCTGCTTCTGTCTTTAGAAATAATCAAGGGGTCAAGAACCAAGGACATTTTCAAGCTTAGTGTCCAAAGAACCCTGAACCTCCATCCTCAGGACTGACAGACCAGGAGCTGGCCTCTGTCCCTGAGGATACAAGCATGGAACCCACACCTGTCCTGGAGATGCTCAAGTGAAGGAGGGAAAGGATGGACTTATCACTGACTTCCATAAGACCTTGGGGAAATCAATGCGCAGCACTCACAATTAGTCAATTTGTGTATCATGCTGTACCAAATCTCTAACAACTCTCAAATGGAAATGGAAGAAGAAGAGAAAAGATAATAACGGCCACACTAGATTTTGGAGGGACTTCTTTGGCTATGCTGGCAAAATATAATGTGTCCTTTCTTCCACTGCTTTATTTTCTGCTTAATTTTTAAGATCCAGTGGTGTTCATTCTCCACTTGATTGGACTACATTACATATCAAAAAAGTGTTAGTGTTTTACAATGAGATATGACAAAGTAAACAAGTCTCAAGAAACAAATAACCTCTTCTTGTCATATCATTTCTGGATGACTCCATATTCTGGGCCCCATATATGGTATGTAGACATGCACATCTGAGGGAAGCTAGGAGGGCAAAAAAGTGGAGGAAAATGGGTGAAACAATAGACAGAGGGCCCATCGGCAGCACTGGTCATTGATGAAAGTGAACTAAGCAACTCAAGAGTGGTGATGGGAGGGAGGGAATGGGAGAGAAAGAGGAAACAGGTGATACTGAGCAAAAGGAGAGAAATGTTCATATCACACGATTTGGAAGAAGCAGTTTGTGGTATAGTGTGTAGAGTTCATAAGCTTTGTAGATCAAGACAATGACAAGATGCATTGTGAAGGGTAAAATGTGTTAGTGACTTTAGCTAATTATCACTATGCCACAATACTGTGAATTTTATGTAATTATTTAACCTCAATAAAGCAAAGTGTTACTGTTTTAGAATACTGACTGTAACATTGAGCAATAAGTATTAAAGTTTCACATTCTTGTGGAAATCCATTATTAAATTCACTATTAATTTCAATATTGTATACGTAATCTCTTTTTCATGTCAGACAACAGTGGCTCCCTTAGAAGGCTGAGATCTGAGGATCGCAGTTCAAACTAGCCTGGACAGAAAAGTCTATGAGACTCCATCTCTAATACACAAGTAAAAATATGGGACTGAAGGCATTTCTCAAATGCTAAAATGCCACTTGTGAATAAGAAAGCCAAGAAAGGAAGCTTGGGGCCCTGATTTCCAGGGCTGCTGCACGCGAACACACACACACACACACACACACACACACACACACACACACACACACACACACACGTTTTATCCATATTGAAAATATAAGTTGATTTTTTATTCCCTTTTCTTCCCACCAACCAACTCTGAAAATGTCAATCCTGTCTTTAAATTTATTTTTTTAAATAAATGTCTTTTCTCATGATGGTCTATGGATGCCAATGTGGGCAGTGCCAATTATGCCAAAGGTTCAGCAGATACCAGGGGATAAAAAGGGGAAGGGAGAGAAAAGGGGAGATAGAGAGGGGGGAGAGAAGGAGAGAGAGAAATACCCAATATGTTAAAGTCACGCATCATTAAATGAAAAACAGCCTAATACGTGTGATTTTCCCACACGTGGCAGGTGTGACACCCCAACCCAGAGAGGGCCTGGAATAGTAGGAATAGGTTCTGGATACGACCAGTGATTCCTGGGCCTGTTGATCAGGATCTGTCCCATATTGGTGCTGCTGAACCTGGGCCCAGACAACGGCAAGACCTTGCTGTATTCAAGAGCCAGTTGCAGCCCCTCATGCTCAAGGCCCTGCTCTCCTTCCTGATGATGCTCATTGTCCCATGCCTCAAGGGATGCTGGGACTATCCTTCCTCTTCCAGAGCAGGACCCTGACCCTCATCTTTCCCCAGAGGGGTCAAAGCATGCCCAGGAGATGGGCATCTGGGACACAATGTTTGTCATGCCTGGGGATGTTCTGATGCACACAGTGAGGGATGCCCCCTAGGTTAGTTGGTTTTGTAGGGGTAGATCTGGAAGCTCCCAGAGACAGAAGCCCCACTCCTGCTCCAACAGGTGGTGAGTGGGCTCATAGACCAACCAGACTGGGATATATCTGTGTACCTTTCGAATAGGGTCTGGCAGCCTACTGCTTTCCAATTTGGAAAGAAATTCCTTTTGTAATAACGCCACAAAAAATAAAATCCTCATAAAAGACCTTTATGAGGATCACTTTAAAAACCAGAAAAAGGAAATTAAAGCAGAACTATGCAAGTGGAAAAACCTCCACTGCTCCTGGATTGGGATAATTAATATAATAAAATGGCAATAATTCCAAAGGCTATCTCCAAATTCAATGAAATACCTATCAATATCCCAACCTCATTCTTCAATGAAATAGAACAAGCAATTCAAAAATACATATAGAACAATAAAAGAACCTAAATAGGGAAAACAATCCTCAGCAAAATAGTTAGCACTGGAGGAATATCAACACCAAATTTCAAAGTCTACTACAAAGCCATAGTAATCAAAAAAGCTTGGCACTGGCACAAGAACAGGCATGAGGACCAATGGAATAGAACTGAAGACCAGAAATGAACACACAGACACATAGCCACCTAATATTTGACAATGGAGCTAAAAATAAATAGAAGGAGAGAAAGACAGACTTTTCAGTAAATGGTCCTGGCAAAATTGGTTAAACATCTGTAGAAAACAAAAGTTAGATTGGTATATATCAATCTGCACCAGAATCAACCCAAATGGATCAAAGACCTTGAAATAAAAGCAGACACCATGAACACATTACAGGAAGGAACAGTAGAAACTCTAGAGCTCCTTGGCACGGCCCAAAATTTTCTTCATAAAGACACAGAAACACAACAAATCAAAGAAAGGTTGGACAAATGGAAATGCATGAAACTGAAGAACTTCTGATGGTAAAGGACATAGCTATCAAGATCAAAAGATAGCCCACAGAGTGGGAGAAGATCTTCATTAGCCATTCAATGGACAAGGGTCTCATGTCTAAAGTATAGTTAGAAATCAAAAAATTAAATCCCCCGACCACAAATCCTCAAAGAAACAACCATCCAATTAATAAGTGGGCTAAAGACTTAATGATAGATTCTCTGAAGAGGAAATAAGAATGGTCTATAAACAAATAAAGACATGCTCAATTTCTCTAGCCATAAAACAAATGGATATCAAGAAAATGTTGAGATTCTACCTCACCTCAGTTAGAATGTATATAATTAAGAAATCTAGAGGATGTGGCCAAAAGGGAACCTTACTGCATTGTTGGTGGGAATGTAAACTTGTTCAGCCAATTTGGAAAGCAACATGGAGGTTCCTCAAAAGACTCCACATAGAGCTTCCTTATGACCCAGCAATCCGACTTTGGGCATTTTCCCAAAGGATCACAAACAAGGTCATACCAAAGCTACCAGCACAACCATGTTTATCTCAGCATTATTTACAATAGCTAAGACATAGAACCAACCCCAATGCCCCTCAGTAGATGAAGGGTTCAAGAAAATATGGTGTATAAATACACATTGGAATTCCATGCCTCCATCAAAAGAATGACATTGCCCCATTTTTTAGGAGATGGAAAGACATGGAAAAATTATATTAAGTGAAATAAGCCAAGGCCAAAGAAACATAGGTCTCATGGTTTCCTTTGTTTGCAATGACTAGACATGACTGGGACAAGCAGAGAAGGTCAATGGCCATGTATATATGACTATATGTGATGATGTTAAGTGAAATGGACCCCAACACAGGGACACAAGTGGTTTTTTTTCTTCTTGATATTGTTTGTAATGTTCTTATAATGTACTATGTGACTCTTTTGTTTCTTTTCTATGTTCTTCCCCTATGGTATAACCCCGGTATTCACTGTATTTGATTCAGGTATTCTGCATCTTGTATATACATTTTTGTAATTTGGGGAAGAGATAAAGCGGAATGCTTAAATGGGGATGCAGTTTGACTCATTGTGATGATGAGATGTACAGGACACTATGTTGAAAACAAACTTCAATTTGTTGGGGGTGGGATGGGGATGAGGGGGGCAGTGAGAGAAGTTGGCAGGTGGGAGCAAAGGGATGGTAGGTGAAAAACAAAGGAAGAGGTAACAATGCTTGATAGGAAATGTACTCAGTACCCTTCTCATGTAATTGTAACCCATCTGTACAATATTTTTACAATAAATTTTTTTTCCTGGCTTTGATTAGCTATTTAGTTCAATGTAAAACCTAATTTACATTGCTCAATTCTCTTTTTATTTTTGGTCTTAGTGCTTTAGCTCTGGCCCTGGGCACTGTCCCTCAGCAATTCAGCTCAAGGGAAGCACTCTACCACTTGAGACACAGGGCAACGTTTGGTTTTCTGAGTGGTTTATTGGAGGTAAAAGTCTCCCAGAGTTTCTTGCTCAGGTTGGCTATGAACCTTGATCCTAAGATCTCAGACTCCTCAGTAAGTAGGATTATAGGCATGAGCCACCAGTTCCTGTCTATTGCTCAATTATTTTTATGCTAAAAGGCCAATGTTTGACTCTATCTACCTAAAAGTTATTTTCCTTCAAATATTACCTAATGAAAGTTAGAAGAGTGATTTAAAGTGATGCAATTAGATGCATTGTGTAAACAGCAAAAGTAATAGTCTGAGATTCTTCAGGTTTGTTAAGTTTAGACTCTTAGTTCAATGTCAGTCTACATGTGATTCTCCTGTTCTTCCTATTTTAAAACCAAATGGGAAATATCAATTTACAACTAGTTTGTCTTAGGGTAATTACTTTATATATTTTTTTTTTATTTTTGTATTGTAAAGATACTATACAGAGGGTTACAGTTACATGAGCAAGGTAATGAGTACACTTCCTATTGAGCGTTGTTACCCCCTCCATAGTTTTCCCCCAACCATCCCTTCCCTCCCTACCTTCCCCGAGGTTCTTTTTTAAAATTGTGATTAAGTGATTACATAATTTCCCAAATTTCACAGTATTGTGGAATAATGATGCTCATTTTATTTTATTTTTTTTAATTTTATTTTATTTTATTTGAGAACATACTGTACAGAGGGGTTACAATTACATGGGCAGGATAATGCATACATTTCTTACCAAGCATTGCAGCCTCCTCCTTTGTTTACCCTTCACCTCCCTTCCCAGCCTCCCCCCTCCCCCCCACCCAATCATACGCCCCCGCCCCCGCCCACACCGACATTGTAAAGCTGATTTTGACATGACATTTTGTACTTCTCATTGTTGCAACAGGTCCACCTGAATCCTTAAACGACTTGTTTGTCCCCGTCTCCTCCACATGTTATACTGACATCAAATATATTGAAAGCGGGGGTTACACTGTGGGGGAGGGACATACAAAGCAACAAAGAAATAATCTTATAAATGCGTTAGAAACACATGCATGAAAGAAACAAAAACATTAAAATACATATTTGAGGGTTCGTTTTCCTAACATCACATTATCTGACCTTTTACGCTTGACTCATACCTATACTAGATATTGCAAATAAGGGAAACCATGGGACCTATGTTTCTTTGGGCCTGGCTTACATCACTTAATATAATTTTTTCCAAGCCTTTCCATTTCCTAACAAATGGGGAAATGTCATTCTTTCTGATGGAGGCATAGAATTCCATTGTGTATATATACCACATATTCTTGATCCATTCATCTACTGAGGGGCATCTGGGTTGGTTCCATATCTTAGCTATGGTAAATAATGCTGCAATAAACATAGTTGTGCTGGTAGCTTTAGTGTGGTCTTGTTTGTAAACATTAGGGTAAATGCCCAAAAGTGGGATTGCTGGGTCATAGGGGAGTTCTATGTGAAGTCTTTTGAGGAACCTCCATACTGCTTTCCAAAGTGGTTGAACAAGTTTACATTCCCATCAACAATGAAGTAAGGTTCCTTTCTGTCCACATCCCCTCCAGCATCTGTTGTTGTTAGAGTTCTTGATTTTTGCTGTTCTAACTGGAGCGAGGTGATATCTCAATGTTGTTTTGATTTGCATTTCTTTTATGGCTAGGGATGTTGAACATTTCTTCATGTGTCTATTGGCCATCCTTCTTTCTTCTTCAGAGAAGCTTCTCTTTAAGTCTTTCGCCCACTTACTTATTGGGCAGTTGTTTCTTTGAGGATTTGTTGTTGGGTGGTTTAATTTTTTGAGTTCCAAGTATATTTTAGATATGAGACCCTTGTCCGTTGTATGGCTAGTAAAGATCTTCTCCCAATCCGTGGGCTTTCTATTGATCTTGCTAGCTATGTCCTTTGCCATGCAGAAGCTCTGCAACCTTATGCAATCCCATTTGTCCAACCTTTCTTTGATTTGTTGTGTTTCTGGGTCTCTATTCAGAAAATTTCGGCCTGAGCCAAGGAGACCCAGGGTTTCTACTATTCCATCCTGTAATGATTTCAGAGTGTCTGCTTTGAGTTCAAGGTCTTTGATCCATTTGGAGTTGATTCT